TTAAGGCCCCTACACCCTAAATCGTTATAGTAGCCCTTATAGAACCCTTTAAAGGAACCCTCTAAAGCCCAAAACCCTATTCTAATTCTTAAGGCCCCTTTATATTACCAGGAAGATCTTCGACACTATTTTGGGGGGGCTCCTTATTATAACTATAGCAGAAAACCCTATTCTAATTCTTAAGGCCCCTACGCCCTAAACCCTTAATAGTGGCCCTTGTAGAACCCTTTAAAGCAACCCCCTCTTCTAATTATTAAGGCACTATAGCAGAAAACCCTATGCTAACTATTAAGACGCCTATAAAATGCCAGGAAGATCTCCTTATTATAACTAAAGCAGAAAACCCCATTCTAATTATTAAGGCCTAAACCCTAAACCCCGTTTTATTAAGGCCCCTACATTAATCCAGGAAGATCTTCGACACCAGATCGCTGCCGAGTTAGGAGAGGAGGCTCGCGGTTTCGAGCGTGCGTTTCGTTGTGAGATCCGAGGCTTCTTCTTAAGAGCTCATTTCTCACAAGTATGTATATATGATAATAATAATGATAATACTAACAATAATATATATATATATATATGTATATATATTGTTTCTTGTTATTCAATGTTGTCCTTGACGTTTCGGTTTTTGAGCTATACTACATTATAGCCTGTAACCCTGCTCTAAGTATTAAGGCTCTTCTCCTTCGGCTTTCAAGTTCCTTCAATCGGTCTTTCTGATGGCCCTTATTCTAGGACACTTTCAGGTGGGTAGTTACCGTTATAGGAGCCGTATAGAAGGTCTATATACCTTAAAGAAGCCTTACAGACGCCCTATAAACCCTAAACTCCCCACCTGTAGCCTCCTTTAAACCCTAAACCCCAAACCCCAAACCCTAAACCCTAAACCTCAAACCCTAAACCCTAAACTCCCCACCTGTAGCTTCCGTTAATTATGACTACTATGCATGGGGGATCCTTGGCCTTGGGATGCCTTTTTTTTCGCTTTTTTTCGGTGTTGTGTAGAGGGCCGTTAGCGTTTGTAGCGAGCCTTGAAGATATTCCCAAACCTACTAAGACTATAGGGGGCCTAAATAAGTTATATTATTGTGGGAGTCCCTTATGATACTTATTGTATGATGGACCCCAAAATCCTATTGTAATTATTAAGGCCCCTAGATTACTGATTCCTCATTGCGAGTCGCTTTAAGGGTTGAGGTTGTACATGGGCCTGTGAAGAATCAAGGATGCCGTACTTGGGTCTCCTCAAATCAGGATCTTGTTGTCTACGGCTGCATATTCGGGTGCCCGAATTTCTGAAACACTCATCTGGGTCACCACCCAATCAAAGACCCCGAGTGCCGCGATACATTGCGTGCGATTCCCGTTTGTCCGGGTCCAACAATGCCTCCAGAATGCAGTGGTTGTTATAATTAGAATGTAGTTTGCGGGTATATTGTACTATAAGTAGAATAAGGAGCCCCTAAAAACCTATAAGTATAATATGGAGCCCCCAAAACCCTATAAGTATAATACGGAGCCCCCAAAACCCTATAAGTATGATATGGAGCCCCCAAAACCCTATAAGTATAATATGGAGCCCCCAAAACCCTCTAAGTATAATATGGAGCCCCCCAAACCCAATCAGTATGATATGGAGCCCCCAAAACCCTATAAGTATAATATGGAGCCCCCAAAACCCTATAAGTATAATATGGAGCCCCCAAAACCCTGTTCCAATTATTGACACCCCCTACAGTAGATTTCCGCTCTCATCCCCGGGGTTGTTCTGGACAAAACTCTTGGGCAGGGCCTGGAATACTAATATAGGGGCCTAAATAAATTACCTATACTATTTGGGG